AAGTTCAGCTGCCACTGACACAGGAGGGTTTGTTAGCCTGTCAACTGTAGAAAATAAGACCCGAGCGTTATGGCTGTTTTTAGTGATGATGTCAGAGAAGTAGGACCTTCTTGCACTCCTCAGTTGTAAATTATAATTGTGAAGTTTCTCTTTATAGATGTCATAATGAACCTGGAGGTTTGTTTTTCTCCATCTGCGCTCAGCTTTCCTACACTCTCTTTTTTCATTTTGTGGAGTTTCTCCATGGAGACTTTTTCCTTCCAGAGATAACCTTCACCTTAATGGGAGCAATTGTATCCATTACATTTAACATTTTTGCATTGAAGCTATTTACGAGCTCATTGACTGAACCTCTGGGCAGGTCAGGTGTTAATGGGAAGACCTGGTTAAAGATCTCACTACTGTCTTCAGTTATACACCGTTTTGTGATCACTGCTGTTGATATATTTGTGTGGGCTGTATAAGGGTAAGGTGCACCTTTCTTTTGTTTAGAATGCTACTGTCTTATTTGACTTATTTGACCCAAATATGGATCATATTTGCATTTTCGTACAGGTTACATATTGCTTTTATCCCTTCAATTTAAATTTTTGAAAATATCCTTTAGTTATCCAGTTTTATTGTTGAACATTCTTGTTAATAACTAGATCTTAAACAGGATGTAAAATGTTACAAAGCTGTATTCATAAGTATACTTACACAGCCTCAATTCACATTTCACAAGATGTTTGACATGTTTCTTTAAGCTTCTACTACACTGGGACGAGATTGGTGATTACATCACTGATACACACTGATCCTGAAACAAATTAAGGCATTTCTCCACATTCTGCTTCACAGGTGTGATAGTAACAGTCGTAGCATGAGAGTAAATGAAGATGCTACTGGTTGGTGTTTGTGTAAAATTCATTTCGAGGAATCCTTTGTGTAGCTGAGGCTTCTTCTTCCCCAGTGGCTCTCTGGGACTGGGAAACCCATCTTGATCACTGGCTCCACCACCAGCTCCAACAGGCCAGGAGGTTCTGGCACTCTCAGTTCTGTCACCCTGAACAAATTGGAATACGAGCGACCCACCAGAACCAACTGACCGGGGGGGATGCTGGGATGAGGTCCTCTCAGCTGTCGCCAGTACACCTTGAAGTGACGTACGAGGTTGCCAGGGTAGTCCCAGCGCAGAGTGGCGTTGAGGAGTGAGGTTCCAGCCCCACGCAGCCACACCACGTCATCAATGCACACACCGTGAATCCTGTCTGGGGGCACCT